GTCCAAAATAAGTACATAAAGGTTTTTAGCGATGCCAAACACAATTGTAACAGTTTTGAACAACTCAGTTGCCATGGTAACGAAATTTGGTCCTACAGGGGTCGTTAGGGGACTTCTGTAACGGCCATCCGTTACAATTAGTACTAGTTCTTCTGTGTTCTTCTTATTCTTATTCTTCAGCCATGAACTTATCCGGAGGTTTACTCAGAAACTACTGGGCGGATAATCATGAAACTACACACATATACTCATTAGGGGGTCCAGGTGTGCAACAAGCTATTTTTATCTCGACCGGAAGTCCAAGATGGCCGCTATGAATTTTTGAAATTTTTGGGAATTTAAAATTTCTAAAGGTGTTCGCTAAGGTTAGCCAATGTCACCTATCCTATTTTACATGTTTTACATATATTTTCCAATGCATTCCAAATTTGGCATGTAGGTGTATGATGGTACCGCAAACACAACTATGACATCCGTTTTCTAATTAAACAAAATGGATGCCATATACTGGTTTCTGATTGGTCGAAGCTCCGTTGTAGTTCGATTTAGTTTAAATTTAGTATGTATGTGTAATATGGCATTGCAAACTCAACTGCGACATTAGTTTTCTAATTTGACAAAATGGCCACCATATACTGGGTTCTGATTGGTCCAAATATAGATGTTGTCTGATTGTCCCCGGAATCGGTACATAAGGGTTTTGAGTGATGCCAAACACAATGGTAACAGTTTCGGAAAGCTCAGTTACCATGATAACGAAATGGAAGCCTCTGATTGGTCGAAATTTTGAAGTTGTCTAATTCTGTCTAAAATAAGGTCATAAGGGTTTTTAGCGATGCCAAACACAATGGTAACAGTTTCGAACAACTCAGTTGCCATGGTAACGAAATTTGACCCTTTGATTGGTCGACATTTAAAAGTTGTCTGATTCTGCCCAGAATTGGTGCATAGGGGTTTTAAGGGATGCAAAACACAATGGTAACAGTTTTGATAAGCTCAGTTGCCATGGTAACAAAATGGAGTCCTCTTATTGGTCGCAATTTAGCTGTTGTTTGATTTTGCCTAAGTCCCTAAGTGCAACGGGGTCGTTGGGGACTTCTGTAACGGCCATCCGTTACAATTAGTACTAGTTACTAGTAGTTTTTGCAGCCTTAAAGAATTTATCGGAACAATTTCTTTTTCAGTGAGATTTTATTCCATAAATTGTATCTGACTGACACTCTAGACCACCGATTCGAGATTAATACGTAAAACATGTGTTAAATGTATACCAAATCGGAAGTTAACGCTTTGCTGTCGATTCACAGGAGATGGAAATCGAAATAAGAACTTACTGAAATAAGGAAGTCAATAAAAAAAAAAAAAAAAAAAAACGTTATGCACTGAGGCGACATCAAAACAAAATGAAAAGCATAACGATCTCACACAAAACACTGTACAATGTTATCTAAAAGGTCAACTGGTTCTGGCATCATATGTTGCATCAGGCATTCGTCACTCCCATGAACGCAGAGACAATTTATGAAATACGAATCAGGGGAAGCTTTATAGGGAGAATGTAAAACTAGATGAATCTAGCAAACACTGTCGGTGTCATTAACTCATGAAATTGACCAGATTTTAATTGCGAATTAATCTAATATTCTCACACCGTTAATTCAGTATGAATATGCAATGGCAGAAACATGTTGGTGTGTTTATTAAAATCAACAGAAGTGACAATTAATTCATTTACAATGAACATACAATAACGGACTATATTTGTGTGGCCTTCATCTTCGGACATCGATCACATTACACAGATAAAAAGGGAAAGCAATTGTCAGATTGAACGGTTTGCATCTGTTTAAATATAAACGCACTTGTTTGGTTAATTAGCTTCGCAAGAAAACAACACCAAATGGTCTCGACAACGCGTCGTCAATTAAGTATAATGATACTCGGAATTACTTTTATGAAAACGTTATCATTGCGTGTGGTTTGGTAATCAGAAAACAGCTAGAGCTATATTCCGTCATTTATTGCCGTGAGGTTCAAAAGTTCAGAATAATTCTCGATTGAAGTTTGTAGCGTTTAACCGCAGATAGGTTTTTTATTATATTTGTTTGCATAATAATTTTTGTCTTTTATTTGTTTTTGTCTCTTCTAATTGATTTTTGATTTAATAGATTTTTGATTTAAATGGTTTATTTTTTATTTTTAAGTGATTTTTATTTCATTTCTCATTGATTTTTTTGATTTTTAATTGATTTATTTTTATTTTTAATTGATTTATTTTTATAGTTACATGCAATGGAATAACTCTGGTCAATACATCATTTGTCAAAACAATAGCAATGATTTCAAAATCTGTTAAAAAAAATGATACACATGGCATTTGAAATGTCAAAGAGAATGTTTAAAAAATAATTGATGACAGAACTCAAATAAGCAGACAACCACATTTCCGGTGCACCTGCGCTTCCGCTAGAATAGTGTCAGTCTGATGCCTACTACACAGTAGACACATACCAGCAATCATCTAGCACTGGTCATAGAATGTGCCGTGTGGTTGTCAATTAGTCCAGTTGGATCTCTTGGTCCGTTGCGGCCACATCTGGTCCGGGCATTTGATCCACGAACCTCCCCCACGAGGCCGGAAACTCTCCTCGAAGGCCTGGCAGACGGTCATAGGGCCGGAGACGAATTTCCATCATGTACGAGCCCACTTCGTGCGTATATATATGAGGCAATCATTGGATTGTATTGTTATGCATAAGATATTATCAGATAGTTGGCGGACACGCAAGTGGTCAAACTTGACATGCGGACGAGATGAGCAGCGCTTCCTGATGGTGTAAAGGAACGATCAAGGCTAAGCTCGTTTTATACGTAAACTTCTGATGAGGCTTCGAACTTGCCTGTCCTAGGATCAGCGTATTCAAATGGTTTATATAGAATCGTCGACGATTCTCATTTGCAGCTGACATATTGGGAGTAAGTAGAACGTAGATGATGTAGGTAATGATGCAGACTATTCCTTTAACTTAATGGGATTACTTACGTCATGTCCACCTGAATGGCATGTGTCAACAGTGGTGTGAAATGCATGGCCCGGATAATTATTTGAATTAAACATATATGCTCCAAAAGGGCTGTGGTCCCTTACATGTTCTATGAACGGAAATTAAATTGTGTACACTTGAATTGCATTGACCATTCAACGTGAAACCTTTGCGATTCCCACTATTGCCACCATGCAAGGAGTGAAAAGGGCTATGGTTCTTTTGTCTGGTACGTAGGTAAGGCGCCATATAAAGACTTAAAGGGTCGATTTAGCACATCCCCTTATGTACCCTATGATGATAAAGGTATTAAGACGGGAATTTAACGCGTTCCCTGACAATAACCATTCTTTGTGTATCTATCGCCAATGGAACTATAAAGACGGAACATCACTCGAACAGTCGTTGCCTCATGAGCAATTTATCCAAATGTATTCCTTGTGCTATTTGAAGCGGAATGAGAAGCTAAACATTGAGATTACATATAAAAATATGGCGTCTTATGTAAGAAACATATTACTGTTTTGAATTCATGCTACTTTTGGCGCTACTGAAATTCGTGTAGGCTCATATACAGGGCATACAAGGCTGATGTAAATAGAATTTTATGTACGGATGATGTGATGAAACTCTTTCTGAATGGTGGTACCTTATATTATAGCCAACAGAAAGGCTACGAACGGGAGGGGCGTGTGCTGTGTCAGAATCTGGTAAAACAGCCCCTAAGTAACGTTATCCCGCTAAATATTAAAAAATGTTTCTATTGAAAAAATATATTTCAAGTTGTAACAGTTTGGTAAAGGACTTTGAAAGGTGGTCAGGCTCTGACGTTAAAAAATAGAACAATTTAGGAGCACACTTGATGTTATCTCACAATGTTTTTTCCCTTAATGGTACATGAGTTACTATACTTATAGGCTGCCAGATGGCAGCGATATATGCTAGATGACGAGGCTTCATACTTCTGTATTTTCTAGAGACGTGTATGGTGTTAACCATAGAAAGTACACTAAACACACTGACTTTTGTAAGCAAGGGTGTCCCTATGACGTTAGTTACGGATCCAGGAAGTTTCGAGGGGCTTCAGGAACCAATCAATTCCAGCCTTCCTATTTTCTTTAACTAACGCGTACATTTGTGTTATACGTATTTTTTTCCGATTTCGAAACAACTGGATTATATTTTTTGTCTAGTGAATAAGTTTCCTACTAATGTGTGCATAGAAAATGATGACTCTATAAATTAGTGTAATTTGAATAAGTGTGTGTGTTTTTAATAGGTGTAATGTGAATCATTGTTTATAGCAAAGTGTGTTAAATGTGTTTACATTGTGAATGAATGTGTTTAGAATAAGTGTCATGTAATTAAACGTTTTGTGTGTAATTTGAATTAATGTATTGTGAATTAGTGAGCTGGTTATTAGTGGTTTTGTGGATAGGTGGATCTTGAATTAATGTGTTCTTGACAGGTGTATTTTGAAATAGTGTCTTGAGGATAAGTACATTTTGAATCAATGTATTGTGAATTAGAGGATTGGATATAAGCGTCGTATAGATTATTGTAAAGTCAGATCACATTTTTGTTCAATTGATTGGATTTGATGACGGTAAGAGCTACACATGTATTGTCAGAATGTCAATTTGTATTCGTATATCGGTTCGAATTTTTATTCATACTTTCGTGTAACCTGTGTTTACTTTGACTGATTCCAAATATTATATTAAAAATATGTAACTACTTGTGTTCTTTTAGCTAACAAGTCCATTTCTAGTTCAACTAGTGAGCCATGCTGTGTTCGGTTAACACAGATTCACTGTGACGAGATTGTTGCTCATCACCGTCATCACAGTTTTACGGAAGTAAAAAACAGACACTAAAATCGGAGGTAATACCACTATGTCCGCAAGAGAAAACTATTTTAGATTACAAATTAAACGAATCATGTTTTCATTACAGATTGTATCATGAAGTGACAGATGAGAAGGAAGCCATGGATTTGTACAAATGGTGTAACGTGCTTTGTCAGCTTTGGTTGCTTCCATCTTGGATAACTTCGAAGACATTGCCGGAAGTGGCTAGGGAGAAAGGTCTGAACAGTACGTCAGAACCAGATATTCTGGATTCCTCCTCTCTCTTCAACAGTACAATAAGAAATGATAATGTCACGGGGAGTTACGAGACAATAAATTCGACCACCACAGAGAGCTCTTCCAGTGTGACAGTTTTGCCGAGCAATGAAAAGAAGTTGTCAACGAAAGGATATCCGGTCTCTGAAAAGAATTCCTCTCTGTGGGATTTGAAGACAAAAACTTTATCATCACAAGCGGAAAACATTACTGCTTTTATCGATAAAACGTCAGAAAATAAAACGTCATTTGGTGATTATACAAACACAGTGTCGCCAGAAAACAGCAGTGTCGTTACCGTGGCAAACAAAAACATGCCAATCAACACAGCGAGAGTTACCGAGGAACACAAACGTGTTAGCACCACTAGTGAATTAGAGGGTTTCCGGGAGACCACGTCAATGATCTATTCAACAGTTGGCCTAGACACCAATAAAACATCCGTAAATATTACCGCTCCCCTGGATATTGATGACATCTCCAAAACTACCCCATATATTGACAATGAGAATGACACTTCAACCAATAACTCATCGTCTATTTCGCCATCAACAAATCTCCATACAAAGTCGACAGCGGCTGTGACACCATCAAGTGCGAAAAAGAAGCCAATTGTTTGGACAACTCCACATCCAAACGTTGTAAGACACATGTGGTTGGCCAAACGAGCCAGAAGCCGGACACGTACGGGTTCTCTTCACCATCTCAGTCTAGGTACGTCATACACACTCGTTATTTTGTATCATATCAGACTAAGCACGTCACACATACGGGTTCTCTGAACCATTTTAGGTAAAGTACGTCACACATACGGGTTTTATTAGGTCACCTGAACTTTGCTCAAGTGACCTATTCTAATCGCTTTCCGTCCGTCGTCGTCCGTCCTGCGTCCTACGTCTTGAGTCGTGCGTAAACTTTTTACATTTTCAACTTCTTTAGTTTATATAGGGAAATAACACTATAGGGTATATTTTGACAACTGCTTGTAGGAAATTATTTTGACTTAGTGAGAATTATCTCTGGAGGAAGACGGTTTCAAATTGTAAAATTGAGATTCCTACCCCAACCCCTGGGGCCAGGGCTGGGCCCCAAAGTGAAAATTAACCAATGTTTCAAAAATCTTCTCCTCCAGACTCAGAGGTACTATAGTCAGTTGGTAAGAAAGATCATCAGTAGCTTTATTCAAATTGTAAATTTCAGGACCCCCGAGCTATCCGTTCTCCTTTGGGGAGGGGGTAAAGTTTACTACAGTTTATATAGAGAAATAACACTTTTGGGTATACTTTCTGTAGGAAATCATTTTTACTTGGTGAGAAATATCCTTTGAGGGAAATGGTTTCGAATTGTAAAATTGAAATTCCTACCCCAACTCTAGGGGCCAGAGCGGGCCCCCAAAGGGAAAATTAACCAATATTTCAAAAATCTTCTCCTCAAGACTCAGAGGTACTATATTTATTTGTAAATTTCAGGACCCCCAAGCTATCCGTTCTCCCTTGGGGAGGGGGTAAAGGTTACTATAGTTTATATTGGGAAATAACACTTTTAGGTATAATTTATACATTTTCAGCAGAAAATTACTCAAACTTAATTAGAATAACCTTTGATGAATGAGGGTATTACATTGTAAAATTGGGATTCCTGCCCCACTCCCAGGGACCATTTACCTATATAATCAAATTCTTATCCTTTGATGACATGACAAGTATTGTATTTCACTTAGTTTACATGCTGTTTCCCACATCACATCTAAACAATAAAATAAAGCTACCAGTACATATGATATAACTCAGGTGACCGCTACGGCCATTGGGCCTCTTGTTTACCATTTCATTTACGGTATATTACACATATGGGTTTCATTCACAATATCAGTTGAGGGGCGTCACGCATTCCCTTACATAGACCCGAAATATCTTGATATAGTGTCATTTTTGTCCACTAAAACATTCGCGTTTTAAAGGGGTTGACGATACATCGAGGAAAATAAATAGAAGTACTTTGAAATAGATTTGCGGCAAAATGGCAAATAAAACCAAGTTAATATTTCGATTTGATTGTATGATCGTGTAGGCAAACTCATTAATACGGCTGCTGTGTTTTTCAACATCTTGTACCACAGCGGAAGTTATATATTTAATTGAATTGACCAGTAAATAAAAAAAAAGTATCTAAACAATTGCATCTTTCAGAAACTTATTAAAATATTCTATAAACTGCCATAAAATCCAACGAATATCTTGCCACTTTCATTTCAACTTTATTTGAATATCAAATAGGATTAAACATCAAATGAGACATATAGCAGTCTTATCAATAAGTTATGTTAACGAACATCGAGATCATAAACAAATAAAAACAAAAAGACTCCATCATATACACAGACATTTACCAGCCGTCTGGTTTATTTCTGGATGGAACTAGATCATGTACAGTGATCGTCTACAGCAAAAATGTGTTGGCCTTTTCAATTACGAGAACAAGATTAAGTGTCATCAAGATGAGTATTCATTTTGACGTTGGCCAATCAAAGGCCTTGTTTCAAATTCCCCAAAGGCTCTATTTCTACTTCAAATATCATTAATAAGGTCGTGTATTGGCCAGTCGCCGGGAGCGATTCCATCTAAGTCTCAATTGTTGTTTGGATCTTCACCGTCAAACGATATGTCACTGGTCAGGATCTTTTTGTGCGAGATAGTATATCCAATAAATTTTGTGAAATTTGTGATTTATTTTTTTTGTGTTCGACGTCATCAACACATATTTTTGGTCTATCACTCGACAGCCTGTAAAAACATAGCACTAAAAAGTCGTGTTGCAAACAAAATCGAATTTCCACGTTGTTACACACACTGAGTTTCATGCGGGTCCTTCCCATCATGCTTTAAATAGATAACCATGTCGCATACACGGGCACTCCAGCGTCTAGGGATTCGATAAAAATAAAGATCGCGACCATTCTCGAAGCGTTAAGTACACGAGTTGTGAATACGACTAATTCTCATGGGTCTTACAGACATACCAATCCCTGAAACTCTGCTCTAATTAGAGTTTTCCTACGCAGAAATAAAATTGTCGCGTATCCTTCCTCGGATGCAGGTTACAAACACAGTGATTTATCGGAGGAAAAGAACAAAACTGTATTGATGGTCTGCGTATATAGCGAGATACAGCTGGTAGATCTCGGAGCCAGCATGGCCTTGACGAGATTCTCGCCGTGATAGATCACAGGTTTAGGTCTATGCAGTCTTGTCAACGCACATGTAAGTATACGTATCCAAGTGATGTATTTCAACACGTGTAATTGAAAATCCAGATAAGTCGTGTCTTTGGAGAAATCAGGAATTCTGGAGGGAGGAAAAATATATATGATAAACAACTAAGTTGTAGACGTGCAACTGGGACACATCTGTCTTGTTCAGGACAAAGGTAGGGTCAACGCCTATGGAGATTTAACATTAGCGTCGTCCCCCACTTGGAATTTCAAAAACAAGATAAATCCAAAAAGGTATGGGTATAGGAAGCTTAAATCGGGAACAGTTAGTTTCAGAATTCATTTGATGATAAATGGGACCTCCTTGACTTACACCTGTGTGGGTGTTAAAGGTGCAGTAATACAATTCCTCCTAGAGCATTTAAATGACACAATTACTATAAAATTGTATCATCATCGTGTGCAACGTATTACAACTGTTATTTTGATACCGAATATTACACTATTTCAATAAAGAAATGTTTTTTTAATTTAAGAACTAAGCAGAAAAATGTGTGAAATTTCATTTCTAATGAGATTTTTTTCATTTTTCACACGTTAATTCCTATAGTTCTAAAACTAGTCTATTTTTCTTACTTGCAAAAAAGTTGGTTACCAATATTATTTTTCAACATCAGGAATTTCAAAAAAAATGAAAACCGGTAAATTTGTCGTATACTACCTTTGGTTCAAAAAAAGAAAAACATAGCTTTCTTTCCACATTTCCTTTAACTTGTGTTTCTTCATGACTAAAGGTCCTTGGGTGTTGGTATTTGGCAAGTAGGTTGTTCATGTAAATGAGTTTAAATGTTGTAAATTTTGATGACCTTGACCTTTGATCAAGGTCACAAAAACCAAATGTGCCGAAATATTTTTTTTGTACGGGGAGTCAGACAAGGGTATCTTTCCTTGCTTTATTTGTTTAGAGTTAACGATATAAAATAGTGTAGTATTCCTTCATATTTTGTTTAATGAATGGTCAAAAGGCAACAAATATAATAACTAGAACTGTAAGCCAAAGACTAACTCATACCCCCACTCCTATATAAACCAGAACTAATCTAAAGGCTATCTAAGACAAAGCATTGCAAATTAATCCATAGTCTCCCACCAGTAATTATGTATATATATATTTCACAGACATACTTCTTGTACTCCCTCCCCATGCCAAAACATACTTTCATACCACATCTTGTTAGCCTAGATGACCCACTTTTGCTGAAATCGTCCTAGTAGTGAATGAAGAGTTGTCAAGACAAAGATGTTTAACAAAGGACCAAATGAAAAAAATACTTCCCTGATGCACGACATCAGGGGGTAAATACCATATCTGTAAATTTTCTTGAAATTGGCCCAGAAAATAATGAGGCAGACAAAGTTTTTGTCTAAGAAAGGGTCATAACTACTTTGTAAAGGGTCGGAATGAAAACACACCTCTTGGATGCACATTTTCAGGGGGCAGTTACCATATCTGTAAACTTCCGTTGAAATTGTCCCCATAGTTTTGGAGGAGTTGTCTATACAGGTGTTTTTCAACAAAAAGGGCCATTACTCCTTACAAAAAGGTTCAGATTGAAAAAAGAATTCCTGGATGCACACAATCAGACGGTTGTTACCATATCCGGAAACTTTCGTTGAAAGTGGCCCCTTAGTTTTGGAGGAGTTGTCTGGACAAGGATTTTTCAACACAAGGCCATAACTTTGAAGAAGTAAAAAGGTCATAGTGAAAAAATAATACCCGGTTGCACAACTTCAGGTGTTAGTAATATCTGGAAAAATCTTCGTTGAAAGTGGTCCACTACTTTAGAATGAGCTGACAGATAGACAAGCTGATTCCAGTATTATTATATTTAGATAATTGCATAGATTTGTCTATAACACAATCTCAAACCTTCTTAAGTAGTTCTCCAGAGGAAAGATTACTATGACATAATACATAATCATGAATTATTACTGCTGCACATAACTTTAAAACATGCCTAATATAATAAAGTGTTTTAGTATTTTACAAAAAAGGAAAATGTATCGGTGTTAATCATAATAAACATTGATAGTCAAATCTTCAAGGTTATGTGAAATTGGGCATTGATCATGTTTGGCATGCTAAAAAGTACTTTACCGGTTTTGATATTACATAAAAATGATTCTGTAGACAGAATACATATATAGGAAGTTTTTAAAGAAGTTTAAAATATAGACTACCATTGTAACTATATATAGGCAAGTTGACAATGTTAGTTATATTTAAAATTTTGTGAAAATTTTGCATGTTTTTCCAATTAGAAGTATCACTACGCTTACTTTATGTCTACCAATATGGCATATTTAGTATCAAAATAACAGTAATCTTATACACTATACACTATTATATTTCATTTCCAAATTAACATTTGCCTGTGATATTTATCGGTCATTTTGTTAGGATACCCCCGTCACTCAACCTGGTGTTATGCAAGGAGGTCCA